GCTCATTTGATTCCTCTCTTTTCTTCTTTCTTCAAAATTCAACCTTAGGCGACATTTGAAAATTTTGAATACCAAATTGAAATTCCCAAATTTTTTTAACCCTAACTCTTCCATCTTAAATGATGTTCTTCCTATCCCTCATGAGTAAAGTCATTTTGTGAAATTTTTCAATTTTTACATTGTCACGGAAACTCATTGTTGCCTAATATAGTTGAAATAATTCTAGGTTACCAATTCTTTTTGGAAATAAAAAATGTAGGCAAGAAATTCTGGAATTTATTTCATTTGCAACATATGTGTGATGTGTAGGCTACTGATATCAAATTTAGATTCTTACAATATGAATTAATTTAAGTTGGAAAAAAATAGAGAGATGAGAATTTATGATTTGGTATATGATGAATCTATAATTTCTTACAATAGAGGGGTGTGAATTTATAATTTAGGAAGGAAGATTTTAAGTTCTAAGCTCTTACAAAATGAACAAATTTATGATTATGATTTTATCAATTTATGTTTATGGGATATTGACATATTGAGTTTTGATTTTTATGCTTTTAGTTTTGAATTTTAACATGGAAGAAGATCGAACTTCTACCAAAAAAGAAGAACAGTTATATCTTTCTTTTCAAAGAGTGATAAATCTAATAATACAATCATAATAGCTAATGTTATATTGCGACTTTTTTGATATATTTGAATTTTATTCATACATTAAATTTAAAAAAAAAAAAAAAATTTGCCTTTCGTAACATTGATTTCTGGCTCCGCCCCTCGGTCCAAAGCTAATAGAAGAAGGTCAGAATCCCCATTTTCAATACCAATTGTGTTTAGAATAGATCCTTTAACAGAATCCATCATATTCTTCAATGTACAGACACACGTCACATACCCACATTGAATTAGCAGCTAAACTATACTGCTACAACAATTTTTTCAATATTATGAAAGTTAGCAAAAAAAAACAAGAAACTTACGAGATCAACCAAAGCAGCGGCCTTTTGGTATGTTGATCCATAAGCAATGGCATTTGTTCTGTTAAACAAGTGCATACGATCCCTTCGTTGGTCGCCACTGCTGCCTTCTCCGCCAACCAACAAAGCCGTCTCCATTTTTGCTCTGATCTCTACAGAATCAAAGATGGGATTGATTTGAACGTGGTCATTAATGAGAAAAAGAAATGGTTGTTCGTTATGGATGACTTCAAAGTCAAGCACTTCAAATTGTCAGTATCAGAGTATTCTTTTAAGTTTGTGTGATAGCTATTTCGTGCATGTATATTTTCAAAAGTAGCAAGAAGCAAGACTTAAAGAACTGCAAGAAGTCTCATATAATAATATTAAAATAAAATAAAAAGTAACTTCAGCCACTAGTAGAAATGCAGGTGGAATTGCATTTTAACATTTTGTCACATATACATTTCTATAATGCAGTAATGTCTCTTGTTTCATAGCTAAGTGCTACACAATTATTGTGCAGAAAGAAAACAAAAAGGGTCAAGGGTCGAAGTATAGTCCCCATTGTAAAAATTAATTAATTAATTAAGTTTATATATATATAACAATGCAGAGGTTCAGATCCAGGGCTCAGGTGGCTTGGCCTCGGCCCTCGATCTTGCAACACATGGGGCCCGCAATTTCAAATCAGGGGCCGAGGTCACGCCACCTCGGCCCTGTCTCCAAACCCAGGATTTAATCTCGGGATTAGAATATATATATATATATATATATGGAGTTTGATTCCCATTTTTCCAATTTGAACCGCCAAGGGGTCCAATTCTTATAACACAGGATAATACAAGTTGAGATGTGCTGTCCAAAATTGGTTGTCCAACTTGCTATCCACCAATTATAAATTGAGATATCATTAGACAACTATTTTAAGTACAAGCGACAACGAGAGAAAAGTTGAATATATTAATTTAAAGTGATGTGTCAATGAATAATTGGATGGACGGCCAATTTTGGACAACAGATCTCAACTCGGATCATACAACACCAGAAAAACTGCATGTCTCGTTGACTACCATTAAATTCAATTTTGTGTCCTTTGTATATTTTTCTTTTTAAGGTCATCTTGTTCTTTTTCTTGCTCCTGCTTGATAGATAAGTTTGTACACAACAAATCGTCCATTCAGTATTTTTTTCGCCATTGTCACAGTTCGTTAGTTATCAAAAATTAGTTTATATTGATTCATAACTAACAAAAAAGCGTCAATCATTGACCTAAAACAACTGAGATCTATGTAGCTTTTATAGCAGGGAAGCATCCAATAATAGACTGCCATAGTTGTTAGCGCACTAGAATACACAACCAACCAATGTTCAAAAGGCATTCCGAATCTGGCAAGTTTTTACAGACTTCTCATTCTTTTCATTCCATCTTCTCATCAAAAGAATAAAATCTAAGGATGTGGAGTTTTGGTTCCACCATTTCACAACCTTTGTTAATCGTTATCTACTGCAGATTTTTTCTTCTGCTAAAATATTTTTTCAACAAAAGCAAATCTAATCTTTATATTACCATCATAGATGATGGTTTTATTATATATTTTTAAATATTTAAATCAAGATTTTTGGATCTTTTGTCCACCCCCACCCCAAAAAAGAAAAATTAGTACAATGTCTTGCTACCTTCGCCTTTTAAAGCACTTTATATGATGATATAGCTAATATTCATATTCAGTGTCTTCTATTTCTTGAAATTCCCTTCTTACCTATTTGTTAAAAAAAATGTATCAAAGCAGGCTAAAGATCTGGGTTCCAGTTTCACCACGATCCATTAATGAAAATTGTGCACATGTCGAATATTTGATAAAAAATGACTTTGTTAGAGAGTGTTAAAGGCAAATATTAAATGAACAAATACAACCCCCTTTCTATCTGCTTAAACATTTAGATAAGTTAGGTTTAACATTGTGAATCAATAGATATGTTTAATGCTTAATGACAATATTTATATTTGAATTGCATCTGTTCGTTCCCCATATTATTTATTCTCTATTAGGATAAATGTGCAGTAGTGCAGGCTTATGTTACACAGTGAGATGATTAGTGTACAGGTAGGGGTTCACGGAAACCCTACCGACACCTCACATAGGGCGTGGGGGAAGGAGGGTGGGTTAATTTTTTGACATTTTTTATTCATGTGAGACCTACACCTTTGTGAGAGTTCTGTACAGATTCTGTAAAAATAAATGATGTATGCCAATCATTTTTGATGTTACACACCCATTCTTCTCCTATATGTTTTGTGCTGTCGGTTGAATTTATTAGACACCTGTTATTTTAATGACTGCTACCATCATTACTAAACCTAAAAGCTCACTTGAATCTTAACCCATTAGTAGGTGCTTGGTTGATCTCCCGTCTAAGATGTTGGCAAAACCTCAGAATGTCTTCAAATCTGATCATCAGGTTATATTAGAAGAATATTTCTCAAGTTGAAATTAAGGATTTGGAAAAGTGCTGTTTGGCCTTGAAGCCTAGCTCCCAATAAATTTGGAATTGGCTACATGAATCCTTTTTTACCACTCCGTTTGGATCATTGCTAGATTTATTGGATCCCTATATCCATTTCAACTGCAGGCTCTCTCTCTCTCTCTCTCTTCCGACTCGCTAATGTGCTAATTTGATTTTTTATTTTTATTCAAAATTTCAAACAATATGTTCCCCCCAACTATAACAAGATTTTTATTTGTGAGGTTTTATTTTTCGAATCTCTTCCGACTCGCTAATGTGCTAATTTGATTTTTTATTTTTATTCAAAATTTCAAACAATATGTTCGAGATTTTTATTTGCGAGGTTTTTTTGTCAAATGGTTATATGATTGCAGCACTTCGAGGATTTCGTGATAGGTCATTTCCTTTCTCGTGCGCATGATATTCTTTCGGCATGTAGACCATACATGGAGGGTGCAGTAGTTGGTTCAGTGGTCAAGGGAATTAGGGAAAGATCCAGGATTGTTACAAATAGAGCACCTCATCACAGTTTGCGGCTACTATAAGGAGAATGATAACCGGTCTCATTTCAAACTTCACGAAGATTGGCGCGGATGACTGTGAGAGGTTTCGCTGTTCATTATGATGGTTTCTGCAGTAGGTTTATAGAATAACGGGTACGAACAGGAGGATGGTAAATCAACACCTTTGTCCATGTTGACTTTGATGGCCTTTTATTTGCATTTTGGTACAAAAAGACTATCTTTGAGGTCCTAAATGTGTAAATATGTTAGGATAGTATAGGGCTGAGGATAAATCTTCATCCTGTATATGGTTCTTCGCCTTGCACTTCTAAATTAATCCTATAATACTCTCTTATTTTCTGGGGGCAGTCTTTGAATCTTATTACGAATGCATGGGAGTGAACTCTGCATATGTTTTCATCTTAACAGTATTCTGGTCGTTTGATTGATGTTTTAACAGGTCTTTACATAAACTTTTCTTTAATATAATATACGAACACGCAGAATCAGGCATGTAGACGGTAGGTAATATTTCGGTCGTAGATATCGAAAAACGATTGATGTTTTGTTTATTTAAATATGAAACTACGAAATAAATCGCCTAAATGCTGGTTTATGCTTTTAACGAAAAGCAAGAGAAATGAACTTTGGAATTCCCTTCTTTGTAATAAGCCCAAGAAATAGTGTTTTTGAACCGAAGTATAAAGACGTGATTTTGTCATATTCATAGCATTCTATGGAGTTAGCAGAAACGTCTCTCTTCGATTCAATGTCATATTTTTCATATGTCGGAACTTCGACAGCCCAACTTACCTTTACACCCGCATTTCTGTTCATGAAAATGATAGAGAAAGTAACCCTTCTAAGGATTAAAATATATTGCCAAGTCACCTCGGCCACTCGGTATTAGAGACAACCCATGTTCCAGTTCAGTAGACTTCTTCAAGGAGCCGATTATACATGAAATGATTCCGGAGATTCTATACTTTGGGAAGTTCTATTTATCAAGATTAATCCACATTTTCAATCCAATTCAAAATCATAATCAGTAGACTGTATTCCTTCACATTTTCAATCCACATAACGCACATACAAACTGCCAGAAGAAACCCAAAAAAATTGTAGCCCATCAAAAGAACGAGTTGAAATTAATAGTTCTGAGTAGGAGAATAGTAGTTGGAGCAGGGAAGGAGGGTTCTCTTCAACAATTCAAAAGGATATAAAGAAAAGAATGCTGGTAGAAAATAAATGTATTAGTCCAGAAAATGTAGTGGAACCAATATTTTATCATTCTGAAATGCGAGACCAACAACGATGGAAATCTCTAAAACTGCTAAACAATCTCCAGAATGCTTAATTTTTCCTTTGTTCTTGTTGGAGGAACCTATTATAATTTCAAAACAAAAGCATCAATAAGAGCCAACAGTGATAATTTATTCAGTTGCCAACTTAAAATATATTATATGTCAGGCTCACAACCCGTCCCAAATCCCCCTAGTGGACCTGAAACGTGACGTGCACTAACGATGGATGCCAACTAAATGTCAGATCCACCATCAAGGCTAACTTTGACTTTCTACCAATCATATGCTAGATAATGAAAAGTCATTTTATGAATAAGAATGTGGGCCCAAGATGATATTCACATGCTTAATTCAAATGACACAAATAACTTAAAACTGTCATGTGGTTGTGGTTCCAAAATCAATAGGCTGTAGAGTACACTAACATGTCATTACGTACATCAACTGCTTATCCTAGCATGCGAGTAATTCTAGATAAAGATGACATGAAGAAAAATAGTTCCAATGTGTCCTCAAATTCAGCTGTGTCCAAGAACATGAGGTGATTAATATTTCTTAGGGTCGAGTAAAGGCCGTGAAGATCTTAAGGAATTCCCCAAGATATTCTGACAGTAAAAATAAAGCAAAATTGAAGAGCTCTCAAGAAATTACTAGCAAGGATAAGAAATGGACCAAGTTTACGGGGAGGAGAACTCTGTCTTCCCCAGCTCAGCACTCAACATATGGTGGAGAAGCATATCAACTCTCTGACTCCTCGTCTTTGTGCTGCAAAATTTGAGGGAAAAAAGGAAAATGTTGATTCCGATCAAGCTTCATTCTAAATTCGTAAAGGGAAAGTTTCTGAGAAGTCAGTTACACATACCCTACATTACGTCGCTCCTTTTGACTTTCATCCTGGATTGTGAAGGAATACAAGTTATTTAGTAATACAAAAATATCGATACAAAATTATGTACAAATGGCTGTAAGGTAAATCATATATACAAATCCATGAACTACAAGCTGACAACAAGCCCACATACATTAATGTAGTTATGTCCAAATAACAGCAACCCAAAGCTCAATCAAGTTCAAAAGTTCGTTTACTCCACCAACCCCATAATTCAAAATGAGATGGTGACATTTTATTTGGAAAATCATCAAAAATGATATGATTACATGACATGACATTCTACAGACACGAAATGTTACTGGAAACAGGAGTCATTCTTTTCCCTGGGGAACTTGATGATGATAAATCAACTGTACCAACCATTACTTTACTGTATATAAGTACTTATGCAGAATATAATATCTGAATATTGACAAGAATCTTGAAGAGGTGAACAGGAAGGGAAATTTCTTTTGAGATGATGATAGATATTATTTGATTTTAACATATAGACTTATAGTAGTGGCCCCTTTCAATCAAAGCACAAAATTCTTTATTAAGCTTTGATATTTCAGAGTCCATGGAGCTGTTAGTTTGGCCAGTATCAGGATAAGTAGTCCAACTCAGTTTAAGAGTACAATTTCTTTATCAAGTTAAGGCCCATTAAATTGTTTCTACAGTGTTTTATCCTTTAATCTTATATTTTTGGAGATGCCTTATCATGTCTGATGTGGGCTGAGGATTGGAATCAAGGTTATGAAAGCTATATCATAGAGCCCTTCCATTTTCCCACTTATGGGAAATCTTTGATCTTTAATCTAAACTACTACTTGTGTCTTTGATCACAATAGAAACCAAAGTTCTTTTCTAACCTTGCCGATCGCATCTTCACATTTCTCTGAAGTTTCAAGATCCATTTCAGCAAAAAATGCCTCCAATACAAAAGCCACAACCTGAAATGATATTTCAAAAAGATTATGAGGTTTATTTTATTAATATTTTTTTTTTTTTCACAATATTGACAGAATGGAATTCAGTAAAATAAGATGGATAGAATGAATTTCGATAACAAAACTCCCAAAAGGGGCTGACAAACAAAGCACTTCAAGATAATAACGAAACGGCTGGGAATTTGAATCTCATATATCTCAGTTTAAGTCTTGATGTTAGATTTACTAATGGTTTCCACATTCAGACAAGGAAACCTTAATTGAGTTATGATAACCACTTGAGATAACAGAAGAAGAAGATCTCCTCTGCCTGTTCCCACTTTTCTTTAAGGGGATAAATTTGAGTGAAATGATTACTTCAAAAAGATATAAAGAAACGATTTCCCCTTCTCAATGTTTTCATTATTGAACATATTATCATGGTCTAAAATGAATGTACTATCTATTTACATGGTTAATCATTCTAAACTAAAGAAAAATAATTGTTATACTTTTAACTCAGCTAAGTTTGTGTTTGGCTAAGATTAAAAGGGTAAATATATTTTTATTGGACAAAGTTGGAAATAAGCAAGTAGCTTATTTTGAAAGCAACCCACATTATCGTTAAAAAAAAAAAAAAATGAATACCGTCCAAATGTGTTTGAAAATAAAAATTACTTAAAAGTAAGTTTTGCTTAGTTTTAGCTTAGACAAACATGCTCAACCTCAATAAAGAAATTATCTGAAACTGGTGCACATGACTAAATAACAAAATCCTTGTCGATAGCTGTTAAATGAAATTTCGAACTTCTATGCTAGTCCTGTAATTTGTTTTAATCCATTTGTCTTTTTTTTTCCGTCTATATCCACCTGGCTATATAATCACATTAGCTAAAGTCCACATCATTTACAGGAGGGAGCAATTAAGAACAAATTGATGCATAGAAGTATATAGCTCTGTGTAAGCAAATAAATTGTTATCCAAGAAGTTCTAGATTTTATATGCAATGTGAAGAGTTCTTCCTGTTATATGTTTGTACTATTCCAAACATACACTGGTTCTTTAGAATATGTTTGAGTTTTAATATGAGAAACACAAGCACGCAGACTTGTCAGTGATACTAATTATTTCAATTGACAGAAGACATAGACAAGGACTCTAAATTAGCTACAACTTACCAAATTCAGTAGTAGTACAATTGTAATAAGATAGAAGCTGATGAAATATGCATAAGACCATGCAGTTCCAGTCAAATCCTTGTAGCTCTGAAATTCAACCATCATTTATTACAATCATATAATGGAACAAGTCTCCCAAAATGACAGAGTAAGACATTGCTGCTGCAATACTGTAAATTGTAGATGTCCATTAAAAGGGAAACTATGTATAATATCCAGGTGCAATGCCAAGTAAAGAGAGGAAATGAACTCTCGGCAGTTTAGGCATATACATATGTATATAAATAACATTTGTTCCAAATTAAACTTAGGCTCCTGAAAATATCATCCAATTCAAAAGAGCTAATCTCTAACCCCATCCACGTACACTGTGACATGTACAATAAAAAATGAAGAGAAGAAAAAAGGACAAAAGTATCTTCTCATCTAGTAGCATGCGCATCTCTTTTCATAAATAATATCTGTAGGTTGACACATGTTTAGCATAGAGCCTAGGTTAGAATTGTTGCTATCCTTTCTTTCTAAACATCCTGTTTTTCCTCGATATAGGTTTACAATTCCTGCAAGACTGCTGCTTATTTGAGGCCTGAAATGCTCAAATTCAAGAGAATAGGGTTAGCTAGCATGATGTACGCTACATAAGGTGAAGTGAAAAGGGAATTATTTAGAATAAATACACATCTTTATCTAGTTGGTCTTCTAAGCACCTGAGACGTTTATAAAGCTTGGTCCATTAGCTAACAAATATTCATGAATTTTAATTATGTTGCGCTAGTAATAATATTCAGTTGATACTAAGAGCGTGTTTGGGAAGTGTTTATCGATGGTTTAAATTATAACTATATAGAAATGAGTGGCAGATAAGTAGGTAGTTCTTGTGGATCCTACGAAATGTGTGGATAAAAAGTGGCTTGAGTATTTATAAACATGAGCCGAACATATCCTAAATTGGCCTGTTCCTGGATATGACCCATGTTCACTAACTTCACTGCTAGATAACAGCCCAGTCTTCCGCAAAGAAGGCACTACATTATTTGTTGTTCATAACAAAAATTTGTAAACCCACAGTAATTGCAGTATCCAATAGAAAAGAAACTTGATTCAACATTTCCACTCAAATGAAAAAACTGAAAAGAAGAAAGTGAACAGTATTGGATAATTCTATCACGGAAGATGCTGAAAATCATGATTTATAAGCAATACCTGCATCCACACTTGCCAGTTCCCCATCACCAGTAGATTGAAAAGTGTTACCATCCCATTTGGGTAGTCATTGAAGTTGAAGAGTAAGTAGCTTAAATTTGTCAAGAAAAAAGAGCCAGGAAATTGATAATTAATGGAGAAACAGAATCTCAACAAGAAACAATGAATGATTTCACAGCAATTTGTACAGGTAGACGTAATGATGGATCTACTGGAGTAGTGCAATCCAAAATTTAGTATGATTGTGTTAGTTTCTATTTGTTTTTTGTCATTGATTGAACTTTTGTAGTGGTAAAAACATAGATTCTCAAATGGATTTTACATGTTTACTGGTCAAATTGAGATACACATAACCTTGAGATGGATTGGAATATGATTATAAATCAGCAAAAATCTAACAGAGCTTCATTCACGACGAAGGATACTCATTATCATTGAGATCAGTGCCTTCAAGATTTGGATTTCCAGCATTGACGATCCCCCCAAAGATCTGCAAATTGAAGAATAAAAGAAACACTTCACAAACTTTAAGAAATCAAGAAAATGAAAAAAATAAAAAAAAAAAAATATCAGGTTTTTATGAGCACATCATGTCTTATTAAGAAGCAACAATTTGCAGATGGACAAAATCTATCTACTACGTGGAAGTGAACTCAAGAAAATCATTTTTTGAAGTTGTGAAAATGACCTCAAGTAACATCTATCTAAAGTGTAATTTAAAAAAAGATTCAAAATACATTATAAGAAGTAATCAGGTACCTGTACACCTAGAGAGCAATAAATGCACATGACACAGAATATGATCCCCAAATATGGCATTAGACTTGGTATTAGAGTAAAAAATGTTGCAACAAAGGCCCGGTAACGCTGAACATGCAACAATAGCCGAATCAATCTTAACATTCTTGCTATAAGAAGATATCGAATCCTGCAGACAAAAAGTGGCTCATTATTTCCTTTTACAGTGATGAAAAATAACCTCCAATGATAAGTAAATTCACAATACAATCTTAGTAAAATAGGTAGGAAACAAAAAACTAAAGATCTTTCAAGACATTATTCTATTCGTTAAGAAATTATAGAAGAAAAAAGAAACAAGAAAGATATACAATGATAAAGATTGGCAAATCCAGATTATCAACTTGAATAAGATATATTTTCTTTATATTCATTTCCACAGAGGAGAGTAGCAAAACATTGGTAATATGAATGTTCTAATCACATGCACAAGCTTATCCTCACCATTCACCATTGGAAAGAAAAGCTAGGCCATGGGGAGACACGAAAGTTGCTGTTTCTCCAACAACTGCAAAAATATAAATAATAATAAAAATAAAAATAATAAAGAAGGGAAGGAAAGACAAACAAGCCGAATCACAAGCTCAACCAGCTCATTCCATATAAAAGGAAAAGAGAAAGAAAGAAGCCTTTGATTTTTAAACACTGGAAGAAAGGAAAAGGTGTAATCCATAAAGAACCGATAAATGACAGCGTAATGTTAATCAATTAATTGAGTAATGTTTCAATCTGAATGTAGCGAACTTCTCTAAACGCCTAGATAGGTTAAATGGTTCCTGCCAGTAATTCTACCCTCATTTTGATGAATAAGGGGAAGAAGGAAAGAAAAAATCTATGTTGAAAAATCCAATCATTAGTTCCCAACCATCAAGTAGAATTCGATGAATACTCCATTAATAAAAGAATCACAAAGCAACGGCCTCTGAAGTTACATATGAACTCCTGGGCCTTTTAACTGATAGAAGTACACAAATTGAAGAAATTAATTATTACATAGTATGACAAAGGTAATTTGATATGCCAAGTAAATTGTCAAACACAATTCTGACAAACCGAAGAAATATATAAATGATCTATATGTGGCCTATCTAATAGTTCGAACTTTTAGATCAAGTAGTTAAATATGGTAAAGATATTGAATTCAATTCATGTTGCCACTGATTCAATGAAATCGTGCATGTTCAGGCTTGCTTTGATGGGAAAAATTAAACTTCCTCCTAAATGTGAAAGGGCATGTTGAACAGAACATTTAAATGATATATATGTGACCCTATTTAATAACTTTAAGTTTTTACATCAAGTGGTACAACAATTTTACATCAAATGGTACAACAATTAATGTAGGATCAGAGTCATACAAAAAGACATAGCTTCAAGTCTCGTTGCCACCCATATATTAAAACTTGTCATGTGTTAAACTTTGATGTGAAAAATGAACCCTGCTTACACGTGTTAGAAGGGGTGTTGAAAACAAGATTTAAATAAATATATGTGACTTATCTCTAATAGTTTAAGCTCTTACATGTGATGGAAAACACCCTGTCTTCTTCCTTACAAATATCCATAGTAACTAAACTTAGAATAACTTTCCTAATTTATGTTTTATACCCTGCAAGCATTGTGGTGCTTTCTTGCCTTTTTAGTGTTACCTCATTATCATCTTCCATAAAACTTTCATCAAAGAATTCCAATATAATCAGAAAATAACTGACACAATAGTAGCAATTTTTTCCTCAAATGGTTAGTCAACTTAGTTGAGGACTACGAATATCCAATGGAGGATATAATCTTTTAGTTTTGGACATAGACCTTAGTGATTCACAGTTGATTAAATGGAAATTTCCCTGAACATAACTCCTATAAGACTTTTTTTTGAAAACAAGATCTATAAGACTTAGAAACAACAACAAAATACTAAATTAGTACGATAAGGCGTTTCAATAAGCTATTACATGTTAAATTATAGTTGTAAGGCAGACTAGAGATAAGAGAGTTGGAATTGAACTATTGATGGCACTTACCTATTACCCAGGTGATTATAAAGTCAAAGCGATTTTGACCATCTCTCCAATAGTTCTGAAATCCATAAGCATAGACCTTTAATGCCATCTCCACTACGTATAGCCATCCTGTGAAGAAAATGCAATTTTTTTTTTTTAAAGGTAATCAAGTATTTTATTAATCAAACCATAATACACAGGAATTGTATTATCAATACAAATCCAAAAGAAACGACATAAAATTGGGCAGCCCATCATATAACTAGTAGCCACCGCATTAAACCAAGTGTATAATGTGAAATAAAACAATTCTCTAAGTTCTCTGTTATTCTTGTTTGATCGTCAAAGTATCGGCTGTTCCTTTTTCTCCACACACACCAAACAATTCAGTTCGGAATAAGCTCCCGTGCAAGTCTACTATCCTTGTCGCGAAATTTTCTCCTTCATGCCTTTAACACGTCTTCCATATGCCTTGGCATCGCCCAATCTATGTGTTGCGATGCGAAAATCTCATTCCACAGTAAATTAGCAACATTACAATGCAGGAACAAATGATCGATCGTCTCCCTATCCCTCTGACACATAAAGTTTATTGACTCCCAATACAAGCTAAAATTACAGTTGTTTCCACATCATACGTTTTTTCACATAGGATATTAGTTTAACAGAAATGAAGTTTTGTGACCAACAGACTTGGGATGGAACTCATCCAGATGCCTAAATCAAATTCCGATTTCTATTTAAGCACTACAAAAACCTAACATCTTTTCTTCATTATTCAAGTCGAGACGAAAAGCAAAAAAGAAGTGTGAAAACAGTATTGAAAACATTTTTGCCTGTCTTACTACTGCCTAATGTTGATCAACATGGATAATTTGAGGTTCAATCATATTCTAGTATCCAATGATGAATTTGATGCCTCATAGTACCCAAGATTTGTAGAGCTCTTACCAAACACAAATTCCACCTTCTGCCAAGCCTCTTGAGCAGAATTGTTCTGTATATCAAGCTGAAAAACACAATGAACGGAATACATCATTAGATATCCAGTAGTAGTATATATGACTAGATGATGTTTATCGAGCTCATCTAAAAGCTAATAAAGAGGGTACAAATTTATTTATTTAAATTACGTGCAAAATTTTCAAAAATGGGTCGGTGAGACTTTATTCAGGAGCTTTGCCTACTCTAGTGTTATGTTGAACCACATCATCTAAAAGTTTAAGTAGTAAGAGAACAACAATTTTATTTCTTTGTTTAAACTTTGTCTTCAACAAATGATTTCTTGACTAGTTCCTTGGCATACAACATGTATCTTCTTTTCCTTCATTTATTCTTGGACTTTGTGTCTGTTTAGCTGTCGAGGAGGGAGTGCAATGGTTAATGGAACAGTCTAGAGAGAGAGACAACATCTTTCGGAAGAATTATGCCAGAGACGATTTGTCAGATTCACAAGTTAAAGTCCTGTTAATCCTGAAACTACACAACATTTATAGAATAGTTGTTAAATCTAACCAGATATAATTAGGTTTCTTTTGATTATACAACAGTTGACTGAAAATCATACCGTTGTTTCAATAATGACTGCAACAAAATTCAGGGCAAGGATGAACACTATTATGTATCCAAATTTCGGACTTTTAACAAAGTCTTTCAGCCTTTTAGATGCGGGTGAACGGTAAAATGCAAGGCTTTCAAAAATAGGTACCTGCAAAACAATTATGATGTGTTGGAAAGAAGATCAAAAGCCTTCATTTTTATTTAATACTATAAGAAGTTGCAAGGATGTCATTCAAGCCTCAGAACAATGGAAAGTGGACTTACTGAATCCTCCTTTTGAAACCTTAGTGCAATGGCATTGCAAAGGTCAGCAAATTCATCCAAATTAATCTGCAAGTAAATAAAAATCGCCAAATAGCTAAGATGCCATTAGAAAAGAGAATCATCAACTTCTTAATATGAAAGATTTTATTTGTCAAAAAGAAACCGATATACTACACCAGAGTGAAGAGCCATAATTATGTTTAAATATAGAGACTGTAATTAGGAGAGAAAATCATTATTATTTTTCATAGGAGAGGTTACATCCATATATATATACATTGAGAATTCTGTATTAGGAAGGATCCTAATTAGGGATCCTATAATTAAGGATATTAATCCTACATGCTGTACATTCTATAACAGAAACAATATCATATTTACGTTCAGAAGGTATCGAGGCATATATAAATCTAAAATCAAATAATACAAAAGAAAGTTACAAAACTTGAATAGACAAATTCAAGACCATACTACTTAGATAGTACTTTTAGGGCCAGAGAATGAACTCTAAGCAACATAATCAACAAGGAATGCCTACCATAATGTAATCGACACTTACAAAAAGGTACAAAGAGCAAAGATGTGATTAGAGCAAATAGTTCACATCGTCTTCGAAGTTCATATGGTAGTAAGTTACAAGCTCATACTTTCACTAGATCCAAATAATGAAAATTCAGAACTTTGCAAAGCCAATGGTTGGAATTTGAAAATGCATCTTTTTCATGAAAATCTAAAATATCAAGACTGTAATTTAAAGGGAAAATTGCAGCAGATGTCCCCAACCTATGGGTGACATAGCAAGTTGGTCCCCAACCTTTCAATTTGTAGCACCCTGATCCCAGTGGACAGCATTCATCCATGTTCCCATTAAAAGGTCAGTTTTTTTGTTAAAGAGAAAATATGCCTTTATTCTCAATTAAATTATCTAAATAAATAAAAATTAAAGAGAATGTGATGTAGGATGAATAAGAAAGAAAGAAGAAGGAACGAGGAGGAGAAACACAGAGAATGGAGAAGAGGAGAAGAAACCAGGGGAAGAGAGGGGAGGGAGAAAACGGCTGCAAGCCACCAAAAATATTTCAATTCTAATTCATCATCAACTGTCTCAAATGAGAAACAAAACAGAAATAAATAGCAGAACACAAACCCTAAAGAGAAGGGCTTGGGCCAAACCCACTAAGCAAGCCCAATAGCGAAAACATAAACAATAGTCCAAATAAAATATAACTAATAGTCCAAATAGAAAATAAATAATAAATGGATGTCCGCATCAACTCTCCTGGGGTGGGAGAAAAACTCGATCCCGTCGAGTAGATAAAGCAGAATGTTGCACTGAATCTGATGCGAAAGGCTCCAAGTCATGCCACGAGGGACGATCTTTCTCGATGATCAAATACCGAAACTCCACAAATGATAACAAGGATAGTTGTAGCTTATCCTCAAGGATATGATCCAACCAAGGAGGACGATCTTTCTTTGTAATCACATACCGATACTGAACTCCCAATAGTAAAAATTCATGCCACTCATCTCCAAAATCTTCCTCATTGGTCAACACAACCTATTTATCTAAAATAGCATCAATTACATCTTTGTGTGCTGTGACATGTGTTATTGGAGTGAAAATGGTAATATATTTAGGTTGGGGATCCACATAAGGAAGTAGAAAAGGATCATCAAGGAAATTAAAAAGGCCTTTGTAAGTAACTAAGTCTTCAATATGTAAAGTAGAGTGGTGGCCAAAATGTGATGAAAAATTAATGACATGTGCGTATGGACCAACATGCTTTAAAACTTTAAAAGGACCAGCACTACCGGCTTGCAATATAACATAATCCCCAA